TTTGTCAGTTATCATTTCAGCCACTACGGGAAATCCTACAAAGGTGGATGTTTTTATATGCTTCAGTATGCTTACTGATTAATTTTTCAGAATGACTGGGAACATAATTTTAGGGCCAGCAAGCATCTTGTGGCAAAAAAAAAAAAAAGCCTTTTATGCTTTCCATTTTTGCAACAAGCAACTTCAAACAGAGGGGATTTTGGCAGCGCTTTCAGCCCACCACTGGCAGATTAGACTCTTTCCATTACGGAGCTAAATAATAGAGGCCGCACAAAAACGAGATGGGGCCTTGTTTTATAGGTGCTACCCAGCAACTTTGGCAGGGAGTCCTGTGGGTCTGTGGCTACTGTGGTAGTGAATTCAGGGGGTGGTGCAGCGGAGGGTTTCTGCAGGAAGAATGGTGATGATGGAGGCTATTTTGGGACTGAATAAGGTCTCGGTTTACGGCCTGGTTATCTGGGGCTACAACCTATGACAAAAGCATGAAATGAAAGCGGGGACTGTGAAACACCATTGAGAAGTCATTGTCTGCAAATTGAACTCGTTAAACGGCATCTTTCCTCATCACTTGGGAAGCACCCACGCTTCTTTCTTTGCACTTTCATTGACCTTCCCACATGAGGGTGCTTTTAAAAACCCTCTTATAGGAGAGATCAGAGAAGCGAGGAGGCGAGGTGTGGTCCATTAACTGCTGAGCTGCCCCCCCCCTCCTCACTCCGAGAAGTCTCCTAAGCAACTTCACTAAAGGAGCCTCGCTGAGTGTGTGGCTATCTGTGAATCCTGCACAGTAAATGTGAAGCAGTCTTCCTGCCATCGTCTGAAGTCCGATGAGGTTTTGATGTGGAAATAGATGCTGTTGGAGAAAAGGGGAACCAGACATGTGTTACAGCCAGCTGTGTTTCCCCCCCTCTCAGAAAAGAACTCTGTAACCCGCTACATCTGGCCTGGTTTGGCCTGGCCCTGGCCTATGTTCTTACTACACTGACATTAATGAGACCCACAACAGTAATGGCTACCAGTGCACCGTGGAGGGGAAGCAGCTTGTATATTAATAATCGGCCTTTTCTGTCATCTTTGTTTGTGGACTTTGGAGGGTCTCTGCAGTGTTGGATGGATCATTGTGCAACTTCCCCTTTTCAGTTGTGTACAAATGAGTTTTTGTGCACAATACTGTACATACGTGCTTCCTTCGTAAACTCGTTTTGCGTAATTTTATTATAGTGGAAATATTGCTCATGCTCTAAGCCTGCTCTGCTGTCCCCAGAGCCCAAAGCATATAATAAAGATGGAAGGAAGCTCTTTATGTCAGCCCTCTGTGAGGAAGCAGTTGTCTGTAATTATCGCTGCTTTTCATCCCTCGTAGCAAACACAACAAATAAGTGCTCTTGTGTGACCTGGCAGTGTGTTTCAGAGAAACTATTTGTTTGTGAGCTTGTTTGTTTGTGCTCTTAAGATCACATGACCAAAGCCCCAAACTCTTTTCTTTCCCTCTCACCCCTCTCTGCTCGGAGCATCAAGTGCATTTGAAGTTGCAATGTGGAAGTCATTAGCCACAAATCCTAACAAATATAATAACAGGGCGATTAGCTCTCTCTCAGCGATCCTCTGCTGTTTTCCTTTTTTTTTTTCCCCCCTCTCGTTGCTGGGGTGGTGCTGTACTTTGTGAATGCAGGGCTTGGTCAAGGGCGAGTCCTCCTCTTCCCTTTCCCGGACTTTTTCTATTTGTAGGTCTGCATGTATTTTATAGGAGGCTTTTTTCCCCCCTTCTCTCTGTCTCTCATGCGGTAGTGGTTCTGTTTCCCATCACGGCCTATGATGAAACCACAAGAAAGCCAAGGCCCATGTGACGAGAGCGCAACAGTTGCTTGGTGACAAGGAGAGGGGTGTGAGGAGGGGGCTGGGCATGTTGGGAGGGGAGTCGGCCTGAAGTGGTGACGGTCCAATCAGTGGATGAGCTCTTCATTTTCCTCCAGGACAAGGATAAAACACTCATATCCACATCGCTCCGATGTAAAATTGGCCTTTTCTCTTTAGCTTGATAGATGTGTGGGCGTCCGCAGGGCTTTTAAATGGTCCATTCATCTTTACGATGGCCTCACTTATCTCTGAGTCCTTGCAGATCTGCTACTTCCCATTCCCACCACAAGCAAATGGTGCCTTGAAACCACATGGAACACCCCCCTCATCTGCCTAACGGTGGCAAAACGTTGCCATATTTACCATCTCGTCGTGGAAAGCTAACTTGGCCGCAGCAGGGCAGGATGATTGCCAACAGCAGCCCGTTCCAAGCGGACCATGTGCAGACAAGCCATGCTTCATCCCGTAACTCAAGAGTAAAGTTTCCTGAAGGAGGAGAAGAGGGAGAGAAGACATTTACAAAGTCATTTGGCTCTTTCCTTTTTGATACAGTGCATTGAGCAGAGCTGCACGCAGCCAAGTTCAGGGATTTTAATACCCACTCTTTTGGGGGAGACGATATTTGAAGGGCGTGAGCTCATTTGGGATGCAGTCGGTTGCCCTGTCCCTGCCTGATGTTATCCTCTTTGACTGGGGCAGTAACAGTCGTGATTGCTTTCGGGGAGCAGTGACTCATAATTGTGCTTGTGCCACTGCCAAACTCTCCATAGCAGTGTTTCCTTGTCTTTATTTCTGTTGCCGTGGCTGCCAGCGTCCAGACAAATGTAAATACGATGAAAATTCATCAAATTATTCCCATCCTCACAAGTTAGTATGTCTTACATTGTATAATGCATTTCAAAATACCCTCATTGCTGAACTGTACCACAGCAGCTGGCACTAATGTTGATTAAAGAACACCCTCTTCTGTGCAAAGTCTTGCAGTCGCTGCTCCCTCACTTGCATCTGCTCACAGGTGCATCGATTCAGAACCTAGAAGTGAGCATTATTTAACACGCCTCTCCCGTCCTCTGGGTGTCAGCGCGATCATAAGTTGTTTCCTCCACCCCTCTTATCGCTCCCTTATGTAAGAGTGCCAAGAGCATGACCCCTGTTGTAACACCATTAAGCTGTTTTTCTAATTTTATGGAGTCGCGTTCTGCCTCAGCCACTCTCAGGTGGATTTACGACCTGGTGGTTGATATCCTTGCATGCCGAGGCAGTATTAATTTGCTAAGAGAGAGCGGAGCCATTTACAGACAATAGAGTGGCATCATAATTGCAGGAACCTGACACCCTGCAGCTCCTTGCTGCTGCTGAACTCCTGTCAGCCAGACGATGGATGGCTGATAAGCTTGACTGAGCAGCACAGCCGAAACAACTAATTAAAAGCAACTTTGGCTGTCACACTGAGAACAGTCGGAGCCTCTGATTTACTCTAAAATTAAGTGTTAGCAGTACTTTTGTGGTGAATGCAAGAAGCTGGAATGTGTGTTTGCGTGCAAGCTAACTGCTGTAAATATTGCACAGCATGGTCCGAAGTATGGGAAGCTAATTACTAAGCACGTAAAACTTTCACAACATTTATTTCTTGTTTAAGCAATATAACTCTGCATTCATTCACATCTTCTAATAACACACAAAACTTTTACTTGGGAGTCCACTGATCTCCCACAAATAAGAAAACAACCGTTTATGATGTCTTTTAACTGTCGTCCAGCTCTTAAAGATCCATGAAACAACCTCAAAGAGCCAGTTAAGAATGGACCTGGCAGCAGACTACAGAAGATGCATTACAAAGCATCTAAGCTAAAGGGATCCCCAAAGAAATGTTTGTCTATATGAGTTGAAAGGGAATGACAGAACAGGCAAAGGGCGCGGAGAAGAAAAGAGTGGAAGATGGCAAGGGAGGAGAACAGATGATAAGACACAAGAGAGGAAGTTGGGAAACCTTGGATTCAAAAGAGAATAAGAAAGAGCCTTGGAGCACAGCTGGCTCACCAAGGGGTATAATGACTGTCATATTGCAATGCATTAGCTCATGCTCAGCCCAGACAGCTTGACTTGATAAAAGGGGCCGGTCATTGGCTAACCACATACATAGCAACAAGAACCCATGGAGACGATCCAAACAAGCGAGCATTGTTTATACCTTATTAATGTTTGATTGACAGGCAAGATGTGAAACTGTTGTGATAGTTCCACGTGCTCTTTCTTGACACCTTCAAAATGCATCGACAAAACTTATCAGAGCTTCACACTGTTATGCATCTACTCTTTGCATACAAGTTAATGTCACATGCTGACTGGTTGTTTTTTTTAAATCTCCCATGGTTACTCTGAGCGGGCATCCTGCTCTGTCAGTCATGGCAATTATGAGCACCTGCAAGCATGAGTAATCATAACAGTCACATAGTAAATTAATATTTTCCATTGTAATGCAATCAAAGGAGGAATTCAGTTCAAGCTGTTAAAACTCTCTTGACGGGAGCCCCCCCGAGGCTCAGGGCGATGAGCGCTGATGGCTCATCATCCCTCCATCAGCCATTGTTTATTTGAATTCCGTCTTTCAGGGAAGAAAAGCCTTCCACCAGCCCTTGTTTTGCCCAGGGAACCTCTCGCTTTCTCACTCTCTCTGCCTCTCTCTGACTCGGCCATATGGTTGTTATACACTTCCTGGAAATTCAAGCCATATTTGCTTTTGCTATATATCTGTGCAGCTTTTTTGTTTTTTCCTCCCCTTGTGTTCGTGTGTTAGCGTTAATTGAAACAATACTGTCATTGATCTCGCTTTAACACTTTTGGCCAGAGCTTAAAATACATGGTGCCTGGGCAAAGAATACAATTATTCCAAACTTATCGTCTATAATCATTCCAAACACATTAAAAGATTTTTAACAGCGCGAGGGTAATCCACAGAATCCAGATTCTCAATAAAGCGGGTCACATGTGTGGCTTAGTTTTACATGCCTGTTTTAAAAGTTCTCTCCAAGCTTTTGATTTCCAACTTAATAGATGTCGAATCCCTTATTGCAAACACCCAGAGTTTGATTTATAAATTTACGCTCTCATTTCTTCCCCCCTTTTAATTTCTGTCTTTCCAGAGTGTTACACAGCGAACGGAGAGGACTACAGGGGTTTCCAGAACCAGACCAGCCTGCATGGTGGTAAACCCTGCCTCTTCTGGAATGAGACCTTCCAGCACCCGTACAACACCCTCAAATACCCGAATGGAGAAGGAGGTCTGGGCAGCCACAACTACTGCAGGTAGGCTGCAAGTTCACGAGTGCAACCCAACCATGGATATGATTCACTCAATAAATGATGAATGACACAGTGATAGCACCTCTGACTATGACTTAGGGGTAATTAGAGTCATTTAAGAGACTGATGATGTTGTCTGGTAGTTTAGTTTAATGGTTGATGGAGTTGTTTAGGCCATACTGCATCAAGAAAAAAAGTTATAAACCAAAATATGTCAAAAGATGTAAATATAATGTAAAAATAGTGCTCGCATTCTGGATTCCTCAAATATTAAACTGTCCAATATTTAACAAGAACATACTTGGCATATTTTTTGTGTCTTGTAAATCAACTCATGACCTCTTGAATTCATGAAAGAAATGTTTTACTTGTTTGGGAAATGAAAATATTTACTGTCTTGCCGTGAGTTAGATTAGAATATGACTGTTTACTAGATATGAAGTTATTGCCCACAGCTGGCAAACTCAGTGTAGTACAAAGACTATAAATTAGAGGAAACTAGAAGGGCATTCAGAATGCGATGCCCAATGCTCTATCTCCCAATTTTAATTAAAGTGATCCGGATACAATGAAAAAAAACAACTTTGCCTGGTGGTTTTTGCATAATCTCTATGACAGAAACAGAAACAGCAGTGAAAATGTACCTCCGCCTTGGCTCTCATCTTGGTGGAGGAACAAGGAACCTGGCTTTATCCAAGAATAACAAGAAACAGTTATTACAGTGCGTTTTGTTTGTTTCACCTGTACAAAGCCTGAAGCATTCAAGACCTGGAACTTCCTGGTTGATGAATCCTGCTAAAGAACTGTCAAATATAGGACCCAGTCTCCAAAGAGTCTTCTGGTGACACCTTCATTTCTTTTATGTATTTAACAGGCATAAAAAAGAATAAAAGCCCGTTTAGATATTTAACTGATTTTACCACTCAGCATTTCAAGCAAGCTTTAGCTGTGGCTGCCCGAAAGAATAACAACTCTTCCTTCTTATTTTTCGCCGTAAATCTCCCTTTGTGCTCCAGTAGATCCACCACAAAGTCCCAAGCAGTGACTCACAGTGTAAGGCTACCAATCTTTTTGGCACGTATCTTATGTTTGTTTGTAATAATTGTAATTTATGCTATTGAGTGGTGGCTTCAAAACTCTGTTGTTTGAGTGAGCTTTGAACTTCCTAGACAAAGCACTTGGCTTTCTGAATAATTTAGAACCAGGTCGCTGTCTTCTTGCAAAGGGTTTGAGCACAAGGGAACCTGCTCAGACATTTGCCTCTGAATATTTCATTGGTAGTACCCAAAGAGAGCATTTATCCCTGTCATCACAAGGATGCAAACACGCTTGAAACGCCACGCTTGGAGTTTGTGTAAGCAAATCTCCATCCCTCGTCCCTGGAATGTGAAGGGACGCAGTGGCTTTTGGGTGTCTCGGAAGCCCTTTCTATCCGTCAGTCACACTCCGAGTGCAACTGTCAGCATTGTATGCACAACTGTCAAACTTGTGTATTTTCAGGGAGCCGCACTCTTTCGTGAGTCAGTTCATCGAGACGTCCAGAACAGTGGCTTGGCTCGGATCGCTGGGCCATAAGAAACAGAACACCCCCTCCTGCTCGGCCCGAAGCCTCTGAAACATTTCTCTAAGTCATGGTTGTAAACTCATAATGCAGCAATGCTTTGAAGTGGCACTGGACAGATTTGTTTTTACTTGAACTGGATGAGAATTCGGAAGATTTATGAGGAGGATACGTACAGAGGATGGAGGAATGCTTTCCCTGCGCACTAGGAGTGTATTATGTCCAACAAGTGATTCGAAAAGGATATGTTCATTGTTTGGATTTGGCTGTTTTCTTGGCATCGGATGCATTTAGCAGCTTTTCCAACTCACTGACAGCTCATAGCTTTGCTTGTTTCCCGACAGAGGGATTTCTGTCACTTAGGGCTGAAGCTGCAACTTTTGTCAGACTTTTTCCTTGAAAGGATTCACCCATCAGCAGCACTGTGGGAACCAAAGTGGCCACTTTATTATGAAAAGATGAGGGATGGTATTTATGGCATGTCTGCGCAAGGTCAAGTATTTGTGCATGCGTCCACCCACATGCGTGTTGTCGTGTGCACACGTTGTGAACATGAACGTACCTGCAGAAGAGGATCCCACTGCAATGTTTGATTCGTTCAGTCACATGAAGCTAGATCATGAGATGGATTTTTCCACCTCTGTGGGAAACGGTCTCAGACATTGTTCCCCAATTTGGATTGCAAATCTCCTTATTTACATGAGGTGCATCTTGCAATGCAAATCGTTTCCAATATTTCTTTAACCCACTTTCACCTTCAAAATGTTTCTCTGTCATGTGTTTGTCTGTCATCTGAGGTTTAGCTTTTTGTCAGTATTTCTAGAACTTCGCAGTAGTTGGTAATTCTCAGACAAAAGGGAGGCCAGCAGAGTGAAAGCCAGAAGGAGGGGTTATAAAGGGGAGCCGTGGCAGTTTAGGCATGTCTGACCCTGAGGCCACTTTTAAGAAATGAGAGAGTCCAGAGCACAGGTGGATAATGTGAAGCAAGGATTCTCTACATTTCCTAACTTTAACACACAGCTCCAAGCACGTATCAGATGTTGAGAAGCAGAGACGTAGAGGATCACTTTTTTTGTCCCATCACCAGCATTTCCTTGGTGGTAATTTAGTCAAGAGGTCACTATAGTATTGTTGAAGAAAGAGCCCTAACAGCCCCCACATTTCATCTTTACAGCCTGCTATAAAATACCCCAGTGAAAACGGGAAGAAACCGGGCAGAGGGGAAATGTCACATTATTCCCCCTTGCAAAGAATGAAGCACAAATCCTCCAGGAAAAGGACAAGAGCTCTCGTGTCTAAGCCGAGACTTAGGGAGGCTCATTTCAACAGCCAATATCACGTTACTAATCATCGGCACGGTTCGGTTCAGAATTTATTTCGCATCGTGAAACGGAGGTAAATGGTCTAAGTCTGGCTTTGAGCTCGGATGTCGGTTTGCAATCATTCCACACTTTTGCACTTAAACAAGACACTTTATTCAGCCTTAAAGTTCTTCTCTGACCCTTTTCTGGATGCTTCATGACACGAGAAGAACATCACGCAAATCAAAGTTCTGATTTATGTTTCATTTATTGTTCCTTCCACTGCACTGTTCCTGCTGGCTGATATTGCACTCTCCCTTCGGTGCATTAGTATGAGGGTGTGAAGTGCATGATGGTTCAGTGGGTGGTTGAATAGCTTTGCCAGCCATTTGACGGCTATTTATATGCAGGTGTGTGTGTGTACTATAGAATTTACGAGTGTTCGCGATGGCTTCTAATGCTTTTGCCTTACATAGATGAGATAATGGAAATGCCAGAGTGAATAGTGTTCCCCAAGCTGATTGTAATTGAATCTCCATGATGTCAGGTGCAAATCTGAGGTCAGGAAAACTGCAGCAAAGTTGTCGCGCTGGTTGTGTGACTGTTATTATGATCCCAGGGCACTGCTTAGTTAAATTGAAGAAGTTGATAGAAGTGTCCCATGAGAAGATGTACTGTGCGGTGGCAAAGCATCAGCATCCACACTACAGTAATGTCAGAGCAGGAGCAAATTTGGTTCAATAAATTGTACCTCTTATATGTTTGGACATTTGTCTTTAAAGGATAGTTGGTTGTATTTGTTGAGGTTTTGAGAA